CGAGATTCATCCAATTTACCACTTGCGTTTCTTGCTAAACCGTAAGATAACAGTGGAGGAGCCTCATAAACGCAAAACTCCAGTGCAATGTCTAAACTGTCAGGAATTTGGGCATACTAAAAGTTATTGTACTCTGCGCAAAGTTTGTGTGGCCTGCGGTGGTGCTCACCACTCAACTCAATGCAGTACAGATAAAAACAACATAAATTCCAGAAAATGTAACAACTGTGGTGGTAATCATACTGCAAACTACCGTGGCTGTCCAATTTATATCGAAATTAAGAATAAAGCTATCCCACGCTCCGAAAAGGTACCAAATGCTCCATCCATAATTCCACAAAATCCAGTCAATATTAACCAAACAAACACAAAAGAAGTTGAAACAGCTAATTCATACTCAGCCGTCTTAAAAAATGGTTTAGTTAAACAAATTCCTGAAAATTCAGTAACCCCCAATCAAAACTTAGAATCAATGCTAATAACTCTTACCCAGCTTATGACGAACTTTATGGCCTCAATGCAAAACTTAGTGTAAGATATAGTAAAAACTCAAAACCAAATGATGCAGTTTCTTTCAGCTAATAAATGAACTGTCTTAGAATGTGTCACTGGAATGCCAACGGCATCCGCCAGCACAAACTTGAAATCATAAATTTTCTGTCGTCCCACAATATTGATGTTTTTCTAATATCTGAAACCCATCTATGTAGTAAACACAACTTCTCTGTACCTGGATTCAATTTCTACTTCACAAACCATCCTGAAGATAAGCCCCACGGGGGAACAGGAACTCTAATTAATTCAAGAATTAAGCATCACGTCCTAGAACAGCACTCCACAGCCCACATACAAGCTACGTCAATATGCATTAAATTCATTGAAGATGAAGTCGTGCTCAGTGCTGTCTACTGTCCTCCTAGATTTCTTGTAACAGAAGCTCAATTCGTGGATTTCTTTTATAATCTCGGTAAAAAATTTATAGCAGCGGGAGACTTTAATGCTAAACATACATACTGGGGCTCCCGTCTAATAAACCCAAAAGGAAAGCAACTCTACTCTACCATTACAAATCGCCGCAACAATTTAGATTTCATATCATCAGGACAACCCACTTACTGGCCATCTGACCCCAAAAAAATACCAGATCTAATCGACTTTTGTGTAGTGAAAAATATTGACAGCGAACTAATATCTGCGCACTCTAGCTTCGAACTATCATCCGATCACTCTCCAGTTTTTATAACCTTATTTAAGGTACCTATAAACAATCAAAGCGTATCAAAACTGACGTCAAAGAAAACCAATTGGGTAAGATATCGTCAATATATTAGTAGCCACTTAGATATAAACCCATCTCTACAGTGTGTAAGTGAAATCGATTCGGCTCTTAATGGATTTGACACAGTTTTAAAATTGGCTGCTAAGCACGCTACTCCTACTGATAAGATAACTTTTACTAGATCTACAAGAAAGTCTTCAGATGCAATTGAAAATATCGTCAGAGAAAAAAGACATCTGAGACGGATGTGGCAAAAGCATAGATCACCTACAAGTAAATTCAAGTTTTTGGCAGCTAAACAACGCCTAAAAAAAGCATTGCTCATAGAGATGGAAAATAGTTTGAACACCTACGTACGAAAGTTAACACCTACAGAAAGTACGAATTATTCCCTATGGCGATCGGTAAGGAAATTAAAAACACCTAAGGAGAGTGCACCACCGCTCAGGCAAGCCGACGGAAAATGGGCTAGGGATGAAGTAGACAAAGCAAATGTGTTCGCAGACCATTTAAGTCAGGTATTTCAACCAAATCCTCCGACCAATAACTTTGAACTACCAATTCAATCTCCTCTAGTCAGTTATGGGCGTCTTAAACTCAAAACCAAACAGATTCAACAGGTTGCAAAAACCCAATTATGTGTCAACAAGTCCCCAGGATATAACCAAATTACAGCAAAAATGCTAATAGAGTTACCTCAAATAGCTTTCAAAATACTGACAAAAATATTTAACGCAATACTTCGACTTGGGTACTTTCCTCAAAGCTGGAAAATTTCACAAATTATAATGATTCCAAAACCAGGAAAAAACTTAACATTAAAGTCTTCATATAGACCAATAAGTCTTTTACCAATGCTGTCAAAACTTTTTGAACGAATGCTTCTCGGGAAGATAACAACATATCTACAGCAAAATAACATAATACCTCACCACCAATTTGGTTTTCGTGCCAAACATGGCACCATCGAGCAAGTGAATCGCATAACAAATGAGATTAGGAAAGCATTTGAAGATAAAAAATTCTGCTCTGCTATATTTCTTGATATAGCACAAGCTTTTGACAAGGTTTGGCACGCTGGACTTATTTATAAAATCAAGGAACTCACTCCTGACTACTCTCACAAAATACTAGAGTCATATCTTCAGGACAGGAAATTCCATATAAAAGTTGGAAGCCATACAACAGCTAATCTAGACATAAAGGCTGGAGTTCCTCAAGGCAGTGTTCTAGGTCCAATACTTTATATCCTGTTTACTTCGGATATACCAAGCAACTCTCGTCTTGTGACATCTACGTTTGCTGATGACACTGCTGTCCTTAGTTCTCACCAAAATAGATTCATAGCATCTAGGGACTTAATTGAACACCTCGAACTCATTGAAACATGGTTAGCCAACTGGCGCATTCGTGTAAATGAAAGTAAATGCACACATGTAACATTTACCCTACGTAAGGATACATGTCCCCCAGTAACCTTCAACGGCATCACCATTCCGCAATCAAACACCGTATCGTATCTGGGTGTTCATTTGGATAGGAGACTAACTTGGCGTAAACATCTAGAAGCTAAGCGAACGCAAATAAAACTTAAGACGCAAAAAATTCACTGGTTATTGCATAAAAATTCCAAGTTACGACCAAACCACAAAGTGTTACTCTACAATAGTTTACTTAAGCCAATTTGGAAGTATGGCGCTGAATTATGGGGTAATGCATGTTCCTCCAACATTGAGTTAATTCAGCGTACTCAATCCAGAATCCTTCGTATAATTACTGGGGCTCCGTGGTATATAAGAAGTGATAAAATTCATGAAGATCTGAAAATACCACTAATCAAAGATGAACTCACTAAAATCAAATGCAAATACAAACAAAAACTTGAAATTCATCCGAACCACCTTGCAAGGAATCTATTGCTAACGCGGTCTTCGTCAAGATTACGCAGAAAAGATGTACCAACGCACTGATTCCTTTTTCTATCTTTATACATTTACTTATTATCAACCTTATTTAAACTTTAATTTACTTCAATTTAATATACTTTTATTTTTCTTTTTCGTTTATTTTTTATTTTTTATTTTATTTTATTTATTTCTTTATTCTTTGCTTTTCATGAAATAATTTTAACTTTAATTATTATCAATTAACTGCAGTTATAATTGTCAGTTCATTTGTTTGCTTTAGTTTTTTTAAGATTTGAATACTTATTGTAAATCTTCTTATAAAAGAGATTCAATAAATAAAATAGATATTTAAAAAAAAAAAAAAAAAAAAATCATGGATTGCTGGTGACTCCGCATATCCGTTGTCTGATATCATTATACCACCATATAGAAGAAACTCACAGCAACTTACCAGTGAAGAACGAATTCAGTTCAATAAACGCCATAGTAAATATCGAGTTCGGGTGGAACATTGTTTTGGGTTATTGAAGGAAAAATTTAGTAGCTTGAAAGAACTAAGAGTTCGAATTAAAAATAACAAAAGTCATAAATTTTGTTGTGAAAGGATACTTGTGTGCTGTATTCTTCACAACATATTGCTTACTGAATTTGAAAGTCAAAGCCGTGAAGAAATACATATTTCTGCAGAGGAAGATCTTCCTGATATGTTACTCTATAACAACGAATCTAGTGCATATGAAAGTAAAAGAAAGTCAATTTACAATCTTATGTTTAATTAATTTGCAAATGTTTTATTCATATTTATAAGAAACTTAAAATAGTGAAAACATAAATATAATTTTTAAAATGAAAAAATACAAGTAAAAGTAAGAGTAATATGAAAAAATGTTAAAAAATAAATATACAGTAAAATTTAAATATATAGAGGTAATGTTATTAAAAAGTTCAAAAGTACTCAACTTATATACTATATATACTAAACCTAATACACTAAGTGTATCGAACTTATCATTAATAGATTAAAAATAATAAAATTAAATTTTAATATTTGTTAAAACTTAAAACTAAATTGAATCATTAATTAGTTAGGACAAAATAAAATTGAAAAATTAGCTATCGTTCGCTTTGCCATATTTTAAATCCAGTTCATATATCGCCAATTTCTCTTTTTGCTTTAACTTCTCCTCTTTTAGCCTGAATCTCATGTTCATCTTATCCTCCTTCATGCGCAATTTTTTTAGTTCCAATTCTTTGTGAAACTCGAATTTTTCTACTTCAAGTTGAAGCTTCCGATTTTGGAACTCCTCTCGTTTGCGTTCAATATCGTTTAGTTCCTGAATGGCGGATGTTTGTTTATTACGTCTTAAATTGTTTTCGAAACGAATCCTCCCTGGTGTAGTTTTTTTTTGTGTGTTAACCTCGCTTCTGTTAGTAGTGATCTGTTACACAGTATTTTCTGTCAGTATATCTGCATCAAATATCGTGCTAAATGGTGTTGCTTCTTCGCTGTTCGCTATTTCAACGCCTGCTCGTTCGCTGGTACTATTCAGTTCTTGCACTGACATCTCCTTGTCGCATACCATAGCAGAAGATTGTAAAACAATTTCGTTGCTTCAAGCTTTCTCACCAAATATTTCCGACAATTGGTCATAATATGGACACATCAATTTTACCTTATCTACAAACAAAAAGGAAACATTTATATAACATTTATACTAACACAAAATTGATTTTAATTACCTTTTATAGATGTGACTTCTTCGTCATCTAGCAAGCCGGCGCCAGTAGACTTAAATCTTAAATCTTACTAAGTCCCACGTTGTATCAATTTTTGTCACTTCTAATAGTATAATTTATAATATATTTGGGCTGTTGGTTTCTATAATTAAAACGAATCAAGTTTTGTGAAAATAATAAAAACAAATTGTCATCCAACCTCAAAATTAGACGTATCCCAGGCTTTCGACAAAGTTTGGCATACAGGTCTACTAACAAAAATAAGAGACATTTTTCCGTTGGAGTATTTCGATATGGTTTCTTCTTATTTGACTAATCGTTACTTCCGTGTTAAGCATGGAAACGATTACAGTGAACTCCAAAAAATCAACGCTGGGGTACCCCAAGGCAGTGTACTTGGTCCTTTGTTATATTTAATATACACAAATGATTTGCCAATGAGCTCAGCGACGTTTACAGCGACGTTCGCTGACGATACAGCTGTTCTAGCGATTGGAGATGATGAACTAACAGCAGCCAGGCGTCTGCAGTCTTCTGTCAATGACATTATCGCTTGGGCTGAAAAGTGGAAAATAAAACTTAACCACTATAAATCAGTTCATGTCAACTTTACAAACCGAAATATCAGATTTATGCCCCTCTACATTGATGGAATACAAATTCCACATTCTAATACGGCTAAGTACCTCGGTATGACATTGGATGCAAAGCTGAGATGGAATGAACATGTAAAAAAAAGAGAGATGAACTGAATATAAAATACAGATCAATCAAATGGCTTATTGGAAAGAAGTCGAAACTGTCACTTCATAATAAGCTTTTAATTTACAAACAAATATTGAAACCAATTTGGACATATGGTATTCAGCTCTGGGGATGCGCTAGCAGCACACATGTTGAAACCATACAAAAATTCCAAAACGTTATATTAAGGGGTGTGGCAAATGCACCATGGTACGTAAGGAACTCTGATCTGCATCGTGATCTAGGGATAAATACGGTGGTGGAAGAAATACAGCGAAATGCAAGAATGCACCTTCAGCGACTGTACTCTCATCCGAATGATGAAGCTAACGAACTGGCGTCAATAGAGCCAACACGTCGCTTTAAGCGTCTAAAACCTTGTGATCTTTGGTCGCAACCTGTCCGAAATGCGTGATAAATGAACTTGCGTGATTTCTGATTAAATTCTTTATAATTGTTGATTAAAATTGTTTGTTAGCTTATTATATTGTTAGCTAGTTACTCTTATAAAAATTTATTTAATCAAATAAAATAAATTTATATAAAAAAAAAGAAAATAAATACAACCTCAGAATGTCCGTTTGCATAAATATATTCTAATATTTTTAAATTTTCCTCATTTGTCCATTTTCGTACTGGATTTTTTCTTTTCCGTGTTTTTGTTTGTACATTACTCACTAAATTAAATCCTTTTAATTTAAAAGTTATATATAATCTATATATAATTACGCTAACATAAAAGTTTGTTACCCCGTTTTAACTGTGTTGCCGTTGACATATATGGATAAAATTTATACCGTTGGAAAGGTGAAGACGTGCAGAAGAGCACAACGTTATTTTTTCGCATGTACGTTAACGGAAACACAGGTAAAAATGCGTTGGCGTAAATTTAGCGACTACAACAACAAAATACATGTGTTTTTCAAAGTTTTTTTTTGTGACGAATTGTTAATTGTTTACGGTGGATTTGTGTGTGCGATTTTTTTCCACTTTTGGAAAAAAGTGGACTTTGTGTGTTTGGACTTTGTGTGTTTGGACTTTGTGGATTCTGTTACAATCAGATTTTTAAAGCTCATTAAATTTCAAATATTGTTTGTGAATAAAAAAAACGCATTGAAGTGGAAATATCCTTTGATATCAATCGTTTTATTTGCATTGTGTGATAGTTAAATTTTAATTGTGATAAATTTTAATTTTGATAAATTTTAATTGTGATATATTTTAATTGTGAAATGTGGATAGTTAAGGTTAATGAGTTTGAAATTTTTAGATTTATTTCAAGTGTATTGTGTGATAGTTAAATTTTAATTGTGATGAATTTTAATTGTGAATTGTGTGATAGTTAAGGTTAATTAATTGGTTGAATCGACATTAACAACACTTCAATTCGAGAGATATTCATTTTGTACAATGAAAGAACATTATGATAGAGTATGCAATGCACAAAAAGAGATTTGTATGGCAATTATCGTGAATCGTGATACAGATATACGAAGATATAATATTTACGACTATAGATGGTGAACCACCATTTGAGAGAAATATGATATCTTTTTTAAAAACAAATGGTGTAGTTAAGAATGTATTAGTATTAGATTCTGCTTTGGAACCATTGGCATATCCTTTACTATTCCCAAGTGGAGATTTTGGTTGGCACGTTAATATATCGCATAACGTGCAACATAATTCTAATGGTAGGCAGATTCGAAATAAAGTTACAATGTTACAATTTGCATGCTTCAGATTTGCAATAAGGGATCAATTTAGCTTTTTGCATAAATCGCAAAAACTATTTTTGCAATACATTGTTGATATGTATGTGAGAATAGAAGTATGTCGACTACATTTTATAAGACAGAATCAAGTAAATTTGAGGGCAGATGTGTATAACAATATTAGTGATTATTTGCAAACGAATCAAGTAGGAGATGGTAGCTTAGGTCGTAAAGTGATTTTGCCTTCATCCTTCACTGGGTCTCCGAGAAACATGTATCAAAATTACTTAGATGCAATGTCAATTGTTCAGTACTTCGGCAAGCCATCGCTTTTTGTTACAATGACTTGCAATAAGAATTGGGCGGAAATTGTATATAATATTGATCCTAATGAATCATCTCATTTCAGGCCTGAAATAGTTGTGCGTGTATTTAAATCGAAGTTAAAAGAACTCATTTCTGACATTTGGAATAAATATATTTTTGGCAAAGTTGAGGCTCTTATATATACAATCGAATTTCAAAAAAGAGGTTTGCCTCATGCTCACATTTTGATAACTTTATGTGAAAATCACAAAATTGTCGGGTCGGCTGATATTGATAAAATAGTTTGTGCAGAGATACCGGATAAAAATTTGCAGCCAAAATTACATGAATTTGTTGTCAAACACATGATGCACGGTCCTTGCGGTGTTTTGAATCCAAGCTCTGTATGTATGCAAGATGGAAAATATTCAAAACAATTTCCAAAGGATTTTGTGCAATTAACGAAAGAATCAGTTAATGGTTATCCGTTGTATAGACGGCGCGATAATAATGTTTCCGTTGATGTTAGAGGAAAGTCTCTAGATAATCGTTATGTCGTTCCATACAACCCGTATTTGTTTGCAAAATATAATTGTCACATTAATGTCGAGGTGTGCACTTCCGTCAAAAGTATTAAGTACATATATAAATATGTATATAAGGGTTTTGATAGTGCAACTGTTTTAATTCAAAGTGAAAGCACAAACGAAAATGACTAACAAGTACAAGTTGAAGTAGATGACGTTAGAAATTTTTTGAATGGTCGATATGTGGGATCAACTGAGGCTATGTGGCGAATATATGAATTTCCTATGCATTTTCAGTCTCATATTATAATTCGTCTTCACATTCATTTGACACAAAGACAAAATATTATATTTCGCGAAGACCAAGAAAGACAAGCAGTAGAAAATCCTAAGCTTACGAAGCTATTAGCTTTCTTTCAATTGAATCAAAGTGATTCATCTGCTAATCAATATACGTATATAGAAATTTCATTGCATTATGTTTGGATTGATAGTAGAAAATCTTGGCAAAAAAGACAACGAGGAGGAGATAAAATTATTACTCGGATGTATATGGTGTTTCCCAAAGAAATTGAGCAATTCCATTTAAGATTACTTTTGTTGCATGTAAAAGGGCCAAAATCATATGAAGATGTGCGTACATTCAATGGAATTGTTTATAGGACATTTATCGAAGCATGTCATGCTAGGGTAATTGCGTCCAATTATAACGAGTGGAGAGTTTCTCTCAATGAAGCTAAGACATTTAACTCAGGAAAACAAATGCGTAATTTGTTTGCGATTAATTGTGCCTTCAATATTCCAGCAAATGCATTAGCGCTTTGGGTGGAATTTAGAGATCATTTAAGCGAAGATTTCGTTAGAGATGGTTGTAGTGTAGATGTTTCTTTTAATAGAGTATTATTGGAAATCGAGGATATTTTGTTAACACATAATGTTACATGTACGTCACTTGGTTTGCCTACACCT